TACATAATGCCAGTACAATACAATGTGCTTTACACAGTAATAGAAGCCAATCACAGTGAAGCTGAAATATTGTGGTTTTTATCAAGAAGTAAAATGAAAAAAATTATATTATAAAATTATTTAATGTAATATTTCCCTTACCCAAAATGTAAAAAAAAGCTATGTATCTAAGCAAATAAATACAAATACATTTATACATTTATTACATTTATACTGGATGTAAGGCAGGAACACATCCTACATGAGCACACAAAGATTTTGAACATTAAATGTTGTTGTCAACTTTTTTTTTTTCATTGTTCTTTTTCTGACTACTGTTGTGATTTGGAGTAATGCAGGTTTATACATTACTTTTTGATGTATGAAACGTGGAGCCTAGCAAATTTCTTTAATGTTATGGTTAATTTGGAACTCTGTTGTGACAAAGTGATGTAGATTAGTAAAAAGTAAGGCATTATTTGATTTGAAATGCTTTCTTGTGTTTACACATTCACAAGTGTTCATTTGTTAATATGTAAACACGAGAAACATATTGCATTCATCATCAATATAAGCATCACTGTGGGCTTTGAAAAAAAACACAATTCAGCTTAGGAATTGATTTGGTTTGCTTAATATCTTCAGTTTAAATCTGTGTTTGTGTTTCTTAATTGCTTATTATTTCCATTAATTGTTTATCCATTAATGAATTATGCCTTTTTGCAGCCACATTGAACAACCAATGAGCCAGGCAGCTCTTCAGTGGAAGAACAAAGTTAAAGTTATCCAAGATCACACTGATGAGCTTGAGGCTTGAAGTTCATTTCTGAAACAACAGTTGGAAGAGCAAAAGGAAGGTGGGTTCAGAACAGCAGCTTTTTGAATGCTTAGATGTTTAGAAGATTAATCTACTTTAGTTAATTACTAATGTGTTACAGATAATCTTTAACTCTATTGAACCGAATGTCTTGCTGGTGATTCGTTCAGAGACTGTTGCAATGTTAACTCTTTTAAATCTGCGTATGCATGTATGTTGGTCAGTTAAACAGATCTGCATGTGGAACTTTTATGAGCTGCCATGTTTTCAGTTACCAGGCGCAGCACCAGAATTGTTCTTACAGGGGTGCTGAAACATTTGAAGGGGGAGCGATATACCTATGGGGATATTTAAACACAAGGTGGGGAGGGGTAACAGTCATTAACCCATACTGACCCGTAGTCTAGCTACACACTAAACTCATGGCGGAAATTATTCTATATGAACTTTCGATACTTGACCACACATCCAGAGCGTGTCACCCACTTTTATCAGGAATAGGCCTTCAAGTTTGCATGGACAATTGCTGTTTTAAATTAAAAATGGACAATGAAATACATTTTTGGTAGGCTTATAGAAAAGTGCCAAGGCCATCTTGGTAGAAGCATTTTCCTAATGTGCTTCTTACCACAATGTCATAACATCAGGTTATAGCTTATTGCCAACTGCAGTGCTGCCATCATTATACCTTTTCTGATGCTTCAGCCCTGCTACAAAACTATAGCAACACTGTGTGTACACATCAGCCAGAATGCAGGATTCACATACACAACCAACCCTTCACTCCACATTTATGTCTTACTTTTGATGACTTGATACATTGAAGTAGATATTTGATTGACATTTTGATACAGTCCGTTCTAGCTTTCATAGTTAAAGAGCACTTTAAGCAAAATTCACAGACTGACAATAACAACATGACTTAGAATTTCTTTTTGCCTTTTGATGGGTAGAAAACAACAAACTATACTCTGATGAGAGAATCTCACTTTTGCATGTTCTCTAAGTACATCTTTCAAATGCAGCTGGAGCTTCAAATTCTTGGCTTAAGACAGTGACAGATAGCAACAGTTAGCAAGCAGTGATCAGAGGGCTGAGAAAACGAGGAGGCGCTTGGTGGAGAGCATAATAATTTGACTGGTCATAATACAGTGGCAGCACTTACAGTAAACAAATCAAATTTCATTATCTTTAATAAAGCAGCTTAATAAATATGCTGTCCCCATTTGATTGGGCCAGCCTGTGATCAGTCATCACGGTGTTTTGGTGGTCCTTACAATTGTAAAGATGACCACAGGCTATAAACACATTTGTAGACACTGAATTTCATTTGAGAATAAGTAATGATCTGAGACTGCTGTGCTCTGGGGGAGAACGGCTAAGTGATCTATGTTTACACCAAAGGTCAGTATTAAGTCTACAGTGTGGTTGTGGTAGTGTGTGGGCCCCTTTATGATTTGGGTGAAACCTATGGAGGCTTCAGGCTTCATTTAGACTATCATTTAGAAGTATTCATTGGGTCTAATCCACGTTTCTGTGAGGCACAGAGCATCATAATGATGATCAGTCATGATCTGCTTAAGTTAAGCAGTCCTAGTTTTAGATCAAAGGTGCTGTTACTGCAAACTTGTATAACTGGTATGATATTAATGAAGTTACTAGAGCAAACTTCAAGGATTTTTGATGCTTTGTTTCATTTGGGGAACAGACAGTCTCAATTGGGTGGAACCTATGTGGCGTCTCAAGGCAGCTCGCAGACAGTCAGTTTAGCCTGTTTGTCCGCTGCCTGGCCTCGGCCCTGGTTTGTAAGCAACTAACTGTCCTACACTGACAGCTATCTGAGAGAGGACGAGCTGTGCAATGAGAGCAGCACCCTCAGCACTGGATGGATACCGTCCCGACGTGCCCTCAAAAGTAGACCAATTATCTACAAATCCCACATTGTTCTCTGAGCACCACTTGGACAACCAGAAGTTCAGTGACCATAACCTGCTGTAGATTTCAGCGCCACATGGAACTGGGATGGGGCCGGAGCGTATTATGGCATCGGACATCGTCCTGGCTGATTTACGTACCTTTAACGTTATCTTTAGTTATTTCTGACTGCTGGACACGAATGTCATTAGTACATGAATGACTATCCTTGAATATCTGTGGCTAGCAGCTTCAGGTTCCCTCTAATGTCTGGCGCTCTGGCTCCCGGTATACAGTTAACTGCTACTGGCGCCCCTAAGGGAGAAGCTATTTTCATGTGCATAAAATAGAATCGCCTCTAACCAGAGCTCTTTCAACAGGGGTCTCAGAGGGTCACTGAGTGAGACAAACCTGTTGGACACGTGAATGGGAGACGAGTGGTGCTCGTGTGGGTTAGCTTTAGCTTTGTGAGTGGTGCTCGTGTGGGTTAGCTTTAGCTTTGTGACTATGCTGCCGAGATGCCACCCTTCGCCCTGCTGTGAGGGCTCTGCTGCTGGAGTCTAGGGTGTGCCAGCTCTCCCTGAGGCACCCGGAGCTTCTAACAGCGAGTCTGAGCTCTGCTGACCAGCTCTGCTCTTTTCTAACTTCCAGATGCAGCTCAAACTCTAGAAACACAGAAGCAGAACTAAACATGCTGCACTCAGAGCAAAGCAAAAGCTCATGGTCTGCCACACTAATACTCACACTGTTTCATCGGCTGAATTGAGTCCTTTCCAGGGGTCTCGCGAATCCGATGAGAGAAGTGACTTTCAAAGGTCAGAGGTTGTAATTAATTCTGAGTTATATGCAACAGTGAATTGAAAATGTAAAAAAGCCACAAAAGACTAGCAAGATAGAGCGGAGAAAACAGCAAACACAGAAGAAAATAATATTTGGGACACATTTCCAAAGAACTGTTTTAATGTGATGGGTGAGGTAGAATTCTTGCTGGTGTGACTCCAAGATTGAAAAATTCCCTGTTAAACTGTCCAGATTTCATAAACCGGCTCTCCTAGCTTGAAAGCTTGGCTTATAAGCATAATTTTTCCCCTCACAAGGGTTTTATTTGGAATAATGGGTCTATTTTAAGAATAAATCTCTTTTTTTTTTTTAAATGGTTTGATAATATTATTATATCAGTGAAACAACTTTTGAATGCTGATGGCTTTTTGTTGACATGTAGTGAATTTGGAGACTCAGTCACAACTAAAGAATGTAGTTTTTGATGCTAAACCACAACAAATCTCACAGCTTCTTAAGGGTTCAGTAAACAGTGATATGGAGGTCATAGGGATGGTCTTTTTATTAGGGTCACTGATAACCTTAAATATAAATGAACAAACAGGTATATTAGGAAAGTAATATCTAATGAAAGAATTTATAAACAACCATGTTGGTCTTTTGTTTTTGGGAACATAAATTGGAGTAAAAGATGGGCAATTTGTTATAAATATTGTATGAATAATAAAATAAAGGAAGTGACGTTTAAAATTTGACACATCTACCCTGTTAAAGGTGTTTTAGAGAGATTTAGAGTTATTAATGAATATCCTGCACCTTTTGTGGTTTGGAAAAGGAATCAATTATCCATCTGTTTTCCAGTGCACTCATACTGAAGTGTTCTGGATTGATGTGGCGTCTTTGTGAGAAGAAAGCCTGGACACTATGTTACACTGGACGCTTCAGATGTTATTATTTATTCTTCTATGGACAGATTAGATATTAAAGTATTCCTTTTTGTACAATACTTAATTATTATGGGTTTCCTCTGTGAGCTCAAGGAATATGGCACTTCTTTAAAAATATAAAAAACAAGAAAGCAGAAAGGACTGTGGAATTCTATGTTGATTATGATTTATTTTACATGTAAGCACCACCCTGTCTGGCTGTTGTTGTAAGTTATGTTATTGTATAATAAAAAAAACAGCAAACACTCCCACCAGTAACTTTGAAAAACAGGAATCTAGGTCACAGCTTCTGTCTATAATGAATCCTGAAACCACGCCCCCTACCAGAGCCTGATGTAAAATTATTTTAATCAAAGTGACTTCCACTGTTTCTACCTTTATGTACTTTAGGCCATGTGTACAGATGCAGGATGTGAAGCAGTGTCAGAAACCACCTAATCAAGACTGTTAGAGATACTGAACACCTCCACACAGGAACCTCACGGGTTTCAGCTGAGTGGTGTACAGACAGATCAGTGTGACTGGAATGTGTTCTGACTGGTTTCTGCAGCTTCCGTTTAAACATGAAACTGTGGACAGATTATCATTCAGTGTGGAGTGTACATGTAATGGACAACAGGGCTCTTTACTGAGGACTGAGTCCACAAAATATGGCACTGCCCTCAGGTATTGTCATGTTTATGTGATTATGGTTTGTATTTCTTCATTAGAGTGAATTTAGTTTCAGTGCCAGGCAGAGCGTTGTACATTTGAGTGTTGTACGTTTTGAGTGTGGTACATTTTGAGTGTGGTACGTTTTGAGTGTGGTACGTTTGAGCAGTGTATGAATTCATTTTGTTCATTTGAGTTTGGCCTGAGAGCTGCCTCTTCACGTGACTTAGCAGTAATGGACACGAGCTGGACAGCGGTAGCCTCCCAGCCATTTGGCATACCTCTTGCAGCATGAGGAAGAAAGAGTACCCGTAGTCTAGAAACACTGCAACAGGGCCAGTTTACCCGCTTATCTACTAAGAACTTCCATTCAAATGAACACAGGCACAAGTTTGTAATTAATATTTGGCCAGCACCATATCAACATCTGTGTGACTTATATTTTGTATGAAAGCTCATTTCTGCCGGGTTGGAGAAAAACTGTATCAAAATACAGTCAGAACAATGTCATGACTTGCCAAGGTAGTACATGATTATTTCAACATATGTAATTACTCTGACTTATGTTTAAATAAATTCTAGAAAATAATATATTGACAATCTGTTCTGAAACATTCATTTTCGGCTGGTGTGCTGAGCTTGAACTTGAGTTCAGTGCATTTGTAAACCGTGTGATATTGTACATTTCTAATTCTTTCATTTGACTGAGCACATCCTGGTCATTTTGAACTTGTGGTGAGCGCAACCTCTTAGCAATGAGCAGCGCATCAAAGACATTTCTGCAACAGAAGCCACACGAAGTAATGAGCAGCTTTAGTAAAGCAGGGATTGCAGAGCTATAAAGAGCTTTAATCTGTTCTTTTAACAATCACTTGGAAAAGAGTACTGTCTAATCATTATTCTGACAACCTGTTTGGTTTTAGATTTCTTTAATCAAATTAAGAATAACATGATATGGCAGGTATTTACAAGTGTTTATGTCCATCAAAAATGAATAAATGTGCTTGAAAAACTCTTTTTCTCTTTGAGCTCAAACAATATCTGCTGTTAGCAGTGAAAAGCTGATCTCTTAGGTGTTAAACACTGCACAGTCAGTACTTCCCATCAGTGTGCTGTGGTGGTGGAGAGGTGGAGTCGCTGTCTCTCCTGCCAGCACATGATGAGAGATCCTCCCCTGTAAGTTTGAGGTTTATATGTTTCAAGTTTATTTCAGGACATTCATGCATTGAAATGCTTGTGGTGAGGCTCAGATAATCACGCTACAGCAGGGCAGCATTATATACATACTAAACACAGTGCAGACAAAACAAAGTAAAAATACAAAAGAAAATACTAAAACTGAAATAACACAGAAAGCGGGTTGTTCTGGCCTGGATGCTGCGGAATCTCCTGCCTGATGGCAGGATGGTGAACAGGCTGTGTGCTGGGTGACGCTGTCTGACTGAATCTTTTTGATTTTCCTGAGGCAGCTGGACTGCTAGATGTCCTGTAAGGCTGGTAGCTTGTTGCCTATGATTGCTTCTGCCGTCCTCACCACTCCTTTAAGGGCCCTGCAGTCGCAGGTGGTGCAGCTGCTGTACCAGACAGTGATGCAGCCTGTGAATGGTACATCTGCAGAAGCTGGTGAGGATCTGAGGAGGCAGACCAAACTTCCTAAGCCTACGTAGGAAGAAGAGACGCTGACAGGCAGATCTCACAATAGTGTTGGTGTGGAGGGACCAGGTGAGGTCATCAGTGAGGTGTACGCCGAGGAACTTCACACTGCTGACTCTCTCCACTTCGGCTCCATTGATGAACAGGGGAGAGTGACCACCCCTCTGCAGCTTCCTGTAGTCCACCATCATCTCCGTTGTTTTGCTGATGTTGAGGCAGAGGTTGCTGTCATGGCTCCACTCTGACAGAGCGCTGACCTCGTCTCTGTAGGCTGTTTCATCTCCATCAGTGATGAGGCCTAGGATGGTGGTTTCATCAGCAAACTTGAAGATGATGTTAGACGTGTGTTTGGCTACACAGTCATGTGTATACAGGGAGTACAGGAGGGGGCTGAGCACACATCCCTGAGGAGCCCCTGTGCTCAGAGTCAGTGTGGAGGAGAAGCTGTTCCCAACGTTCACCACCTGGGGTCGCTCGTCAGGAAGTCCAGTGTCCAGTTGCAGAGATGAGGGTTCACCAAATCTGTGAACTTAGGAATGAGTCTAAACTAGACTTCACTATGACAATAAATCCTATAAACTAGACTTCACTATGACAATAAATCCAATAATCTAGACTTCACTACAACAATAAATCCTATAAACTACACTTCACTATGCTAATAAATCCCATAAACTACACTTCAATACGACAATAAATCTAATAAACTAGACTTCACTACGCCAATAAATCCCATAAACTACACTTCACTACGCCAATAAATCCCATAAACTACACTTCAATACGACAATAAATCCAATACACTAGACTTCACTACGACAATAAATCCAATACACTAGACTTCACTACGACAATAAATCCAATACACTAGACTTCACTACGACAATGAATCAAATACACTAGACTTCACTACGGCAACTAATCCAATACACTAGACTTCACTACGACAACAAATCCAATACGCTAGACTTCACTACGACAACTAATCCAATACGCTAGACTTCACTACGACAACTAATCCAATACGCTAGACTTCACTACGACAACTAATCCAATACACTAGACTTCACTACGGCAACTAATCCAATACACTAGACTTCACTACGGCAACTAATCCCATAAACTAGACTTCACTACGACAATAAATCCAATAAACTAGACTTCACTACGACAATAAATCCCATAAACTAGACTACACTACGACAACAAATCCAATACACTAGACTTCACTACGACAACAAATCCAATACACTAGACTTCACTACGGCAACTAATCCAATACGCTAGACTTCACTACGACAACTAATCCAATACGCTAGACTTCACTACGACAATAAATCCAATACGCTAGACTTCACTACGACAATAAATCCAATACGCTAGACTTCACTACGACAATAAATCCAATACACTAGACTTCACTACGACAACAAATCCAATACACTACACTACACTACGACAATAACTCCAATAAACTAGACTACACTATGACAATAAATCCAACAAACTAGACTACACTATGACAATAAATCCAATAAACTAGACTTCACTACGACAGTAAATCCAATGCTTCTGGTGTTTATTAGTGAGATCCCAGAATCCTCCATTAAACTTGAGTCTGTTGTGCTTCGTCATGTCCAGTGATGAAAGATGGAGAGCACTGAAAGTGACTTACTGGACGCTCTAAAAGAGCTGCAGGAGACGGATCTGAAAGAGTTCCAGTGGCGTCTGACCAATGGTGTGGACGGTTCTAAACGGATTCCCAGGAGTCAGACGGAGAACATTGACAGACCCGACACTGTGGACAGGATGGTGCAGTATTATGGCCCAAATGGAGCTGTGGACATCACCCTGAAGATCCTGGAGAAGTTAAATCTGAACCAGCTCGCTGAGAAGCTCAGACAGAAGATGAATCTCAGAAAGCGTAGTAAAGGTAAAATTATATTCACTATTTACACTATTTAAAATCCACTTTTTCTCCATTATTTATATTTTTGTTCATTCTCTTCTTCATATTTTCCAGCCAGCAAAATAAAATGATCTTTATTGTGTAGTCTAAATCTCACAACTTATTGCAATTCATATTTACAAGACAATGTTTGGAATTAGAGCTTGAGCCAGTTTTGGCCATATTTGTTCTATTGCAAAAGTAACCAAATGACTCGCCAAAAGGGCAAGAAGTCACAACGATAAACACTGCAGAGCTGAGATTTCAAAAACTTTCCTTTATTTGCCAGACATGGTGCTCATAAGATGAACAAGTCAACTGTTTCTCCCATAGACAGAAACAGACAGACACCCTGTTCACAAAACATTTGTGGTGACAAAACAAAACTTTAGCAAAAGAAAAGAAGAAAAATAACAGTGCAAGTTAAACAGCCACAGTAAAAGTCTTATTCCATTCATTTTTAGCTCACTGCACTGTTATTTTGACAGCCTTGTCTTGTCAGTCAGGCCATGTGGGTGGACCCTCAGAAGAAAAGAGCCTTTAACTGATGAGAACCAAAGAGGAGAGGTGTCCCGTCTCATCTGCAAAGGCAGCGGGACTGATAGACGGGCTGTTAGCTTACCAGCTAAGCTAGCAGCAGCACTACATTAGTTAACGCCATTAAACATTTAACTATGTGAAGAAAACGTGTGTTTATTTTTCACTCATTTGTATCAATTAAAGTGATTGTAAGTTTGGAAATACAGTGTAATCACTATAGTGTAACTGTTGAGTTAAACTTTATTTTAACTAGTCTGTTCCAAAACCCAGTACAGACCACCAGAGCTGGTCACCACCAAAACCAGCATATGCTGTGTTTTGGATGCTGGTCAGCCAGCATAATCATGCTAAGCCTGTAATGACCTAATGCAATGCTCTGTTGTATGATGTATGATATATGTAACCCTTCCATCGGGTTTTCGTCTGCCCTGGTCAATGATGGACACCAAACTGGGAGGATGCAGTTTTATTTGCTTTCTGTTATGAGTATGGTGACCACAGTGTGAGCCTCTGGTGGAACATTTCCATCAGGGTCAATTGTTACAAAATCAATATGAATTATATTTTATAGCTACATCATCCTTTTTTAATTAGTGGAACGTCAACAAAAAGTAAAATATGAAATAATGCCATCTGGTGGCGAACACAAAATATGGCATCCAGACCACCAACTAGGTAACCCAGATAGCATTGCTGTGCTCATTAATGTTGTTCTTTATATACATTAAAACATGAATAGAACATACCTGTAATAAGTACGGCAACCACAGTGTGAGTCTCTGTTCATGCTTTGGCCAGCATACAACTAAAGAAACAGGCTAACATTAGCACAGTTCAGGTTTAGCTTCGAATTTAAATGAACTTAATTTAATTTACATAACTCTTTAAATGAAGCATTTTGGAAAAGCTCAGCTGAATATACTGGTCTCTGTTACATGTATTTCAAGACAAAGTAGGGAAAAACTTTAATATTACAACACTTTACAGAGTTATTTGCAGTTTTGCTGAGCTGAACATATAAAGCTGTTCTCACCACAGCAGCGTGCAAACACTTTACTGCTGAGGCTGCACCGAATCACCAATACATATATAGGAGCTGTAATACGCTGACCGACCAGCAGGTGGGGCCAAACACCTTTAGTAGGAATTTCATAACATAACATTAATACAACTATTGTACACTGTTACACATATATAGTTAAAGTTACAGCATCACTGTCTACAGTCGTCTTACAAACAGATATTATAATGAATTATGGAACTTGAATTTATTAGGTCAAACTCCTGCTTTCTAAAGTCTTATGCATGTAACTGCTAAATTATACAGGCTTATAAAGGCATTATAAGCTATTGTATGATTATGGCATGATGTGGTGAATTCTGACTCCCACACAGAGTCTGACTGCCCTTTATGTGTGATGGTTTGACCATCCATATTTATCCATAGATAATGAGTCCTAAATCAGACTCAGGTGTGTGATGATGAAGAAGTGGAGAAAGGGGGGATCTGGATCTTGTGTGAGCCAATCCAGCCCAGAGGACTCCACATATCAATAGATCCACAGCAGTTACTGACGTTCACACAGTTCAGATCCACAGCAGATACTGACGTTCACACAGTTCAGATCCACAGCAGATACTGACGTTCATGCAGTTCAGATCCACAGCAGATACTGACATTCACACAGTTCAGATCAACAGCAGATACTGACATTCACACAGTTCAGATCCACAGCAGTTACTGACATTCACACAGTTCAGATCCACAGCAGTTACTGACGTTCACGCAGTTCAGATCCACAACAGATACTGACATTCACACAGTTCAGATCCACAGCAGTTACTGACATTCACACAGTTCAGATCCACAGCAGATACTGACATTCACACAGTTCTGATCCACAGCAGATACTGACATTCACACAGTTCAGACTAATTTATAATATTTACTGTCTGCATTATTGTCTTTTACTCTTTCACTGTTTTGTGTTCTCCTCCATTGGTGAGTGACAGCTTCAGTAATGTGTGAGCATTTTTTTACAGCTTTCAGTAACAACAATCCACAACAATCCACAACAATCACTGGAACAGCAGTTCGGTAAATCTGATCTGATTTTCCTTTTTAAAAATAATGTTTTGACTATGTTTCACTGCTTATATCACACATAATACTAAATGATTATGAACAGATTTATACAGTTTATAGCTTTTACTGTCACTGTATTTACAAGAAAATGTCACATTTCTTCATTATTTTTGTTTGTGTTAAATTTTTAGATTGAAGATGGAGAAACACAGTCAGGCAATTGAAGATTTAAGGTAAGAACGTGCCTTAATACTGAATTATCATGAGTCACTTTTAGGAACTTCATTTCACAAAATACTAAATGATTATAGAAAACTGAATAGAGTTTAAATCATACAAATATTAATACAAACCTGCCTTAAAAACAGCATGTTCAATCTTTAGTACTGTAAAGTACCTTTTAATAAAATAATAAATAAAAGAGCTCATTATTGTTATTTGTTCATTCACACCTAGATCTGAGAAAGTGAGGCTGGAGCAGAAGGTGGATGATTTAAGGTAGGAAAGTGCCTCATGAATTATCATGAGTCACTTCTACAGACCTCATTTCACTAAATACTAAATGATTATAGAGAAATTTACAGAGTTTAGCATATAACCAGCATATTCAATCATTTTACTGGAACTATAAATCATCTTTTAATAAAATAAAAATATAGCATCTTATTATTGTTATTTGTTTATTTTACACTTACAGTATGAATCTGGAGGAGGAAGTGAAGGATTTAAGGTAAGAAAGTGGCACAACTAAGGATTAATGTGTATTTATATCATTTAGAAGAGAGAACAGAGACCTGCTACAACAAAGCAGATCAATCAGTGTGAACTCTATCTTTAATATAGGGGGTGGGGTGATGGATTTTCTGCAGTGGAAAGGTTCAGACAGTACGGTGAAAAGGCCCGATCTGAACAATGCAGGCTAAGCGGAATCAGAAAGCTCAGGCTTTAGAAACACTAAAGGGAAACACTGTCAGTGGAGAAACACTTTAGTACTTAAGTTTGGACTTAAAGACTTCAGTAACTGCAGGGACAAAGGCTGAGGAATGTAGTGTCAGACGAATCTGGGAGATATTTGCTTAAAAGACCATGAAAACTGCAGAAACAGCTCCTAAATCCCTCTTAGAGATGAGATATGATGTGATGGTCTCTGACGTTTTCAATTCAGTGACTGTCTCAACTTCAAAGGCTCTAATGTTTCCCATCTGACTGATACAACCTGCTGCACGGATGTGCCTTCACAAGGCTGCACAACCAATCAGAATGAGGAGGATGAAATCACAATAGTATTGGTCAGCTTAAAGAAAATGGCTCCAGTGTACAAGAGACTCCATTTTCACAGCTAATGTCAGATTTATTAATAGAGCTCATTTAAAAACAGCAGCTGTGGATGAAAGTGCTGTACAGTCAATGTAGCAGGAAACAGTTTAAATAACAAAAACGACCATAAATACAAGCAGTAAGTGAATGTGCATTCATTAGCTGTTCATGGAACCTCTCAGTATGCAGTCCACAGAGGTGTGGCTGTGAGTGAAGGGGGCATCATTAGGCTGAAGACACCAACAGAACGTATCAGAGAGACAGCAGATACTTTAGGAGTGGCCAAATCAACAACCTGGTACAGTCTTAAAGGAGAAATGAGCTGGTGAGCTCAGCAGCACCAAAAGGCCTGGAGGACCACGGAAGACAGTTACAGTGGATGATCACAGAATTATTTCTGTGGTGAAGAAAAAACTCCTTCACAACATCCAGTCAAGTCAAGGATCTTCTAGAGGAGGAGGATGCATCACTGTCAAAGACTACAATCAACAGACGTCATGAATATAAATAGAGAGAGCTTACCTCAAGATGAAAACCTCTGGGAGCACTCAAGAACTGAAAGGCTGGATTAGATTAATAATAATAATAATAATAATAATAATAACAGTTCTGCTAAGCTGAGTTTTGATCAGTGATTTGAACACTGACAGATGGGTTCAGTCTCAGATGTGTATGGGGACAGAGTTCCAGAAGGCGGGGGCAGCTATGGAGAAACGGTCACCCCAGACTTCGCTAGAAAATATCTAAAAGTCTGTCCAGTTCTGGAGCAAGATTCTTCAGACAGAGGAAACTGAACTCCATAATGATGGGAAGAGAAGAGTATTGAGAGGAAAATGAAGGACCTGTAATCTGAAGCAAAGCACACCATCTGTCAAACATGGTGGAGGTAGTGTTATGGCAGGGTCATGTATGGCTGCCGGGGGAACTGGGTCATTAGTTAAAACTAATCCTTGTATTTATAAGAATGTTAGTTGGTCCAGTTACTTTTGAGCCTGTGAAAATGGAGGAACTGTGTAATAAATGGTTCATGCAATATTTTTTTGTTAAACACCTTGAATTCATCAGCCAATCAGTCAATCAGTCAGTCAATCAATCAAACAATCAATCAATCAATCAATCAATCAACCAATCACTCAAACAATCAACCTTATTTTTCACTCAGAAATACACTGAGAGCTACAGATGCATCACTTGTGTTGTTCCTAATTCAGGTCTCTGTTAGGATTAATATGTCTGGATCAGACTTTGTACAGGTGTAGTAAAATATTTGTGAATACTTAATCAGTTTTCATCTCCATCAGTTGTTTTCAACACCGTCAGCTGAAGGTTTTTAACAGCGATGTAAAATCCAGAAAGTAAAAATCCTCTCCAGGATTTTGTACCAACTGCCTGAACCCCTTTGCTGCTGGTTTGAGCTTCTACAGAGGCCAGGCAGGAGGAATGAAGTGCTGGGGAAGAATTTCACATTCTGGACCTGAATTTAGCACCTCTGAAAATGAATATATGAAATTAAATATAAATTAGAAATTTGATTTTTCAAAATAATTAGACATTTTCATTTCATTACTGAATGCATTATAACATAGCTGAGGACTTTACAGTCTTGTTGAACTGATCAAATTAAAATAGAATAGCTTTCTGGTGTGGCTGAGAGTTGAATTAGATGAAGTTATGAAGTGAATAAACGTCTTGTTAGCTGAGACTTCTGTCTATAAATATATCCATTTTAAATTATTGCAGTATTTAAAAAAATGAAGACCTAAAATATGTTTTATCCTTTACCTAAAGAATCAGTGAGCTATGAAAACTGATATCATGTTTTCTGATGACATCACATACAGGTAACATGTACAAAGAGAAAGCCAAAAGCCAGATGGATTATTAATATATAAGTTAAAGCCACCAGAGAGAAAACATTTTATCACAGTCTGTGGACACAACTGATAACAATTCAGCACTTTCTGCAAAAATGTACTATTTTGCTTTGTAGGTTATTTAGTGACCTTACATTGAGTAGAGCGAGGTTTAATGTACTGCTCACTATGTTAGGAGGTCAAACCAGATCAGACGCTTGCAGATTAAAAGACAAGGTTGTAATTTGCTTGAGGGTTCTGAGTGTCACAAAAAGCGCAGTCATCACAGTCCAGGGTCAGTGGGATTTGTAATGGTATGGATGAGCATTTATGGTCCAGGAGTCAAATGGGGGTCTGAACTGAGACTTTCAAAATACAGTCACATTTAATTAACAATTCATAAAGATGAAAAGGGTTAAGTCGTTTACTCACAGAGTACTTAATTCTTTTTGTTTTTCTTTTAAAAGAGTTGCCAAACAGCAGCAACTGCAATAATAAAAGTCACAAATTCAGTGAATATTCTGGACAAAAGGCAGGAGAGAGAGAGAAAAGCCCATGAACTTAAATAAATAAACAAAGTCTGTCCTTGTGCAGCTTTTCAGTCTCACACCTGTTCAGTCACTCTGTTAAAGACAACAGAAAGACATGCATTAGTATTACAGCACATAAACAAATAGAGTGGAAAAATCTAAACTACTTCCCACCTTCTCTAGGAAAAAATAGAAAACATTACAGTTATAGTTTTGCAACACAACTGAATCAAAGACAGACAAAACAAACTCAACCTAAAACACAAAAATAAAGCAAAACAAGCAGCTTAAACAAGTAGCACAAAACAGAGAACACAAAGGAACTTCGGCAAAAGCAAATTATAAAAAACTAAGAAAACAGATTAAACAGAAACTCATTAAACTGGAGCTACAAAGAACAAATGAGGAATAAATGAAGTCCATTACATTCTGCTTCTTATTACAGATACAGAAAGAGACAGAAATCCTATAACGTCCTCTTATCAAACCAGACATTTAGCCTTACTGTAGAACAGAGAAACATCAGCCTAATGTACCCAGACCTTACTATCCCATAATAATCAATGATGAACCTATTCAGTCACAGTAATGGCTTTGGAAACCATGAGGCCTGAACAAAAACACTGAAAATAAACTCAACCATGAGAACATTTAGAACGCCACAGTGAAAGAGCTGCTCTAGTCAAACTAGTGCAAACGTTACTGTTGACACTGAAGCTCTGGATCATTTACAAACCCCACATTTTACTCTGAGATGCTGCGTCAGTGTTTGGTCCATTTCCACAAATGAGTGATCAATGATTATGAAACAATGTGAAATAATGAAAGACTAGGACAGAGTTATGTAGGGCTCGGGACTGTGATGTCATAACACAGTGTCTTATGGGTGATCCACCATTGTGGCAGGGTTCATCAGTCTAGACTGGTTAAGAACAGTTAAATCAGTCTTTCTTTTCCACCTGCTTTCCTTGATTTGGCTGATCTGAAGCCCATGGATTCACTAAATATGCTAGCAGAGGAGACCAGCAGGTGGACCTACATGACTACAGGTGGACCTACATGACTACCAGATCAAAGATCAGAGCAACACTGAGGAAAGCAGATAGAAAAGTGAGGATCATTCAGCCATTCAGATGAAGCTTAGTTAAACATTTCATATGGATCATCACAGTGAGACTGCAGATACAGATCAGACTCATTTACTGCTTTCAGCATCATTTAGTGGCTTTATCATGTAGGAATCAGCTAATTAACTCTTCACAGACGCCTGATGGGCACCAGACTGTAACTGAGGACCGTCTAAGGTGGAAAGGAAAACTGGAATAAGAAGGAAATCTCAGCTTTGTGGTTGGGCATCATTCAGTGTGCTCAAATCTGAATTAGAAGAATAAGAGCTGCAGCCTTTTCCTCTAAAACATTAGCCTGCAGGGCTACAGTTAGAGTTTAAGGAGTGATCTACGATTAAGATTAAGGATTAAGATTAACTTGATATAATTGGTTCAGTTTTTATCAACCAAGCTCAAATATCTTCCATAATTATGAGATTCATAACTGATATATTTTCACAGATTAAGAGTGAAGGACCTGGAGGACATCATAAAGAGGTATGATGGTGCCCCATATATCAAAACCTGTCCTGACATTTTGATGATGTCAAGCTTTCAGAGCAAATGTGTCTTTTTCTTTTCTTTTTAAAGAACGGAAGAAAAAGCAGATCACAAATCAGTAAGTAGTGGAGTTTTGCCTGAAGACCTTGTTCATCCTGGCAGAGTATCTACATTAAAGGCTATATATGAGGAAAGACATAGGAAACACTTCAGTCTACAAGAGACAGAAGGATCAAAAATGAATTCAGACAAATCAGAAGACGTCAGGAAGCAGACAGACATGACCAAGGTGGGAATGTATCCATCTATATTGGTAACAGTATTTTAGATGAACCAGAACTAGCATGGAGTAAAATTAAGAACTACAATAGCTTTAACTGTAAAGGCCTTCCTTAGGCTGGGTCATCTGCTCGGCCAACAGAGGGAGGCACAGAGCTCCTCCTTAGTAATCAATGGTAACCAGCTTCATCTGAGCTGACCTGGCCTTTCATAAGGGATCTCAGTCTTGAGGTATCATGGTGTGAGGTTATTTGTCTCTAAACTCAGCCATCAATCTCTTTAGAGTTGCTCCTCTAAGTTTTCTTTTGGGTTCTCGAAGTCTCTAGTCACTGAAAGCGCTAGCGTAAGTATTAGAAGTGTGATGATCCATTAGTTCTTGATGCTTTGATAATCACGATGCTTTGATAATTAGTCCCGAAGCAACTGCATTGATCATAGAATGGACATACTGAGTACTGAATCATATGCTTCAATCAAAAATCTATTTTTAAGTGATACGAATCAAACAAATTGTGATTTATTAATAAAAACTTGTTTACCTTGCTGAAAAAACAGTGTAGACTAAGCTGGTCTAAGCTGTTCTATGCTGGTCATCCAGCATTGTCTATTGGTCTATATTGGTTTTAGCCTGCAGGGTAAACATGTCAAGTCAAGTCAAGTCAAGTCAAAGTTTATTGAATATAGCGCTTTTCACAACACGCATTGTCACAAAGCAGCTTTACAGAAAAATCCAGGTCCAAGCCCCCATGAGTGTCGCCACTTTTTCCAGTGGCAAGGAAAAAGTCCCTAAGAGCAAGAGGAAGAAACCTTGAGAGGAACCAAGACTCAAAAGGGGAACCCATCCTCCTCTGGTCCACACCGGATAGTAAACATTGTTAGTATAAAGTATTAAAATACAAGAAACAGGAAAAACAGGTGAAGCAATGGTTAATTAGATGCAGCAGCATCAGGAGGGTCAGTTCATGCAGGTGAGGTTTGCACAGCATTGTGCAGTGTGAAGCTCCATGGTGGTGGTCAAGCCGGTCCAGAAGCTTGGTGAGCAGTAGGCGCCCCATCAAGGCAGAAGAAGCAACAGCATCAGATGCACAGGATGGGCAGCTGTTCAACTCGGCAAAGAAAAAGGAACACACAGAGACTCAGTTCCATAAAGAGTGATTAATCACAGATTACGATATAAATAGAGTGCAGCACAGACTCTGGCATGTCGAGCTGTTACAGCCTCACTAAGAGAAAGAGCCAGAAGATAACAGAGACAAATATCTGTGATACATAAACAAATGTGAGATTGTCCTCAGAATTCAGCCTCCCAGCACAGCACTACTCAGGCAGCGTTCACAAGCTAAGTGTGGATGGAGGAAATGCAGCGTAGAGGATTTACAAACCAAACAGCAGCTCAGTGTTCTGGGTTTAATCTAATTCATCAGACTTTAATAATCCAGAGCTCTATAGGTGAATGTTACAAAGTGTAATTAGCTAAACATCACAATGCTTTTACACAGAAGACCATGAAGTTAGCTGGAAGTGCTATTATTCAACTTCAGCAGTCAGAAAGTTTCTTTAACTCAGTGTGCTCTGATTTAAATCAGACAGCGTGATATTGTAGAGATGATGGGGAGGAAAGAAGCAGAAGACACTGCAGTGAAAAATACACAGCATGCAGACTGTACTGAACATAGTCATAGAACAACTTCTAAACCACATCCCGCAGCTTCCTAAACTGCATCTCGAAGCTTCCTAAACCACATCCTACAGCTTTCTAAACCGCATCCTGAAGCTTCCTTAACTGCAATCCGAATCTTTCTAAACCGCATCCTACAGCTTCTTAAACGCATCCCTCAGCTTCCTAAACTGCATCCTACAGCTTTCTAAACCGCATCCTACAGCTTCCTAAACCTCATCCTACAGCTTCCTAAACTGCATCCAACAGCTTCCTAAACCGCATCCAACAGCTTCCTAAACTGCATCCCGCAGCTTCGTAAGTGCATCCTACATCTTCCTAAACTGCATCCTACAGCTTTCTAAACCGCATCCTACAGCTTCTTAAACCGCAGTACCCTCCTCAAGGAGTTCGGGATGGCTGCAGGACAAGGTCGACCACAACAACTGCAACCCACACGACATGCTGGACCTGAGAGGCACCTCGGTGACAAGGACCAGACTGCAAACTGGGGAGAACCCTCCTTAGCTAGACCCTGGGACAAAGAACAGGCTTATCCGGATGCTGACTATGGAAATGAGCAAACAACCCCAGATCCAATATGTCTTCAGCAGCCGCCCAACACCGCTCTCAGGGCCATATCACTCCCAGTCAACCCAATATTGGAATTAGCCCCCTCCTTGCCTGGAATCCAGTAGCTGGCGAACAGCATTAACTGGGGACCCATCAACCTCCTCTGGAGGAGGGGGTTTGTCAAAGGGTAAAGCCTTGTCCATCCAATCTGGGACAATAGGTTTAAGCAGAGAGATGTGGAATGAGTGAGAAGCATGGTAATGAGAAGGCAAATCAAGTTTGTAGGCAACCTGATTAACTTTTATTAGGAACTTAAAAGAACCAAAGTATTTGGAGAGTAATTTCTTGCCTCTGCAAACCTGAAGTCTGGAGTCGATAGCTAAATCCAGTCTCCTGGCTGGTAAGAGCATGTGGCACCCTGGCAGTGGTCGTCTTGTTGTTTTCAGCGTTGACATATCAGTCTTCAAATGCATCTCCTCCCAGACCTCTTCGCTGCATCACATCTAGGCATTGACAGCAAGGATGTTAGAAGAAAGTCCAGTCCACGAAGCCACAGGTGGAACCTGAGAACACATTGGAAAGGGGTAATACCAGTCATAGAACTTATTGAATTCTGTGCTGTGAATGAATCTTACACTTTGTGAGAATCTGTAAGTTTAGTATATATAGTAAGTTTAGTGGTGAACCACTGAGATAATTGAAGATCAGTGATGAAGTCATTGAAAAATGTCCTTTCCAGTGGTCGTGCCATGAGTTGGAGTCCACCCCATGAATGAAAATTGACCATGGAGCAGTGTCTGTAGCATCAGTGCTCTCATCAACAGCAAGTGAATAAGCAAAGAAGTCTTTGCCTTTTTCAATTAGCTGCTCTTGTAGATTGGTGGCTAACTTGCCCACCCGATCATCTACCACATTTCTGCTAATGCTGACATTTGCGAATGCTTGCTTTTTTTCGGGCACACTTCATTGCAAACTTTAAGCATGCACTGCTTCAGAAAAACACCCTTGGAAAAAGGTCGGCTGGACTTAGCTATTTCTTCTGCTATGATGAAACTGGCTTTTACTGCATTATCACTTTGTGATTTGGCCCTTGTAAACATTGCCTGCTGTGCTTCAAGGTTCTTTTTCATCTCTGCCACTTTCTGTTGCCTCTACTGTCCATCCAACTCTCCATATTTGTCACTGTGTTTTTTGTCATAATGGCACCTAATGTTGTATTCTTTCATTGCAGCCACATTATCCCCTCAAACAGGACATAGAAGTAAAAAAGTATTTGAGCTCCCAGCCATCTTGAAAACTCCTGCATTCACTCTACACTTTTCTCTTGGTCATTTTTTACCCAGCTAGGTATTTTTCTGTGCTAGCCAGGTGTTTATATTGGATAGACTGCTGAAACGCAGCTAGTGTATTTGGTGATGTGATTGGTGTGGTAAGACTGTGGTGTAACCACTGTCCTATAGACTGTTGTTGGCGGAAGGGGGGTGGGAGCGCACATTATGTTGCAGTGTATGCTGGGAATTGTAGTGCAGTGCATTGTGAAATGGGCCAAGATTAATAGAAAATTACAATAGCCCTTGTGTTTGACACATGTGGTCTAGAGGGATCAGGGTGTTTCAAAACTGGGGCAATGTAAAAGCTCTTTTGAGAGAGTCAAATGCACATTCACCCTGAGAAGACTAACACAGTTTTCTAGGGGACCCCTTTAAGAGGGCTGTCAATGGTGCCGCAATACTATTGAAATTTCAAATAAAACGTTGATAGAAATTAGTGAACCCCAGAAAGTGCTGGAGCTCCTTAACAGAAGAAGGGCGAGGCCAGTTAACTACAGCTTCTACTTTATGGCCATCCATAATTACACCATTAGCACTTATGACATAACCCTACATATAGGCTATTCTCAATCAGTCTTTTGAGAACTGAGCGGACATCTCTTACATGAGACTCTAAATTAGGAGAGTAAATGAGAATATCATCAATATAGGTGATGACAAACCTCCCAATCATGTCACGGAGAATGTCGTTAATGAAAGCCTGAAACACTGTCAGAGTATTCGACAGGCTGAACGGCATTACTAAGTACTTATAGTGACCTCTGGTGGTGACAAATTTGGTCTTCCATTCGTCACCCTCTCTGATTCTCACTAAATTGTGTGTGCTGCGTAAATCCAATTTAGTATAGTACTGAGCCCCCTGCAATTGTTCTAAGGCTGCAGAGATGAGGGAAAGGGAGTCTAGATATTACTTCACAATCTCATTTAAACCACGGTAGTCTATACACAGACAAAGGCTTCTGTTTTGTTTTGTTTTTTTAATATACAAAACCAAAACCTGACACCACAGGAGACGTTGAGGGCCTGATAAAGCCTTACTCTAAAGCTTCTTGAATATATGTATCCATGGCACATTCAAATTCAAACTTGAGTTAATGGGTAAATTTGAGCCATTTAGCCAGGTTGGCATTCTCAGTTAGATTGAGCTCTATAGCACACTAATAGGGCCATTGAGGTGGGAGTTTGGTGGCATTTCCCTTACTACATACTTCATGAAGGCCAGAATAGACATCAGCGATAGTGCAATGATTGGCTGTATCAGGGCTCTTAATGGACGTGGATCGCACTGGAATAACAGGGTAATTGATGCAATTTCGAAGGCAGTGTTCTGACTGTGAAAGCAGTTCATGATTGGAAAGAAGATTGTGTAGTTCTAACCAAGGAAGGCCTAGTATAACTGAAAACTCTGAAGAGACCAACACTAAAAGGGAAATCTGTTCACTATGTAGGGTCATTGTCATTAGTCTAATAGATTTGGTTCTCTTGGTGATAAATCCAGTTCCTACTACTTCTCCATCTAGAGCAGCCACACGCAGAGGGGTGGGCATGGATGAAGTTCCCCTCTGCTCCAGAATCGATCAGTGCAGAAAAGACACAAAATGATTTTGGCAATAAATTGTCACAGAACATGAGAAAAGATTTAGAAACCAACCCCTTTGTGGGAACACTCACCACATTTCCAGAGGGGGGGTCAGCGCTGACGTTTAGGTGGATGTGCCCAACAGTCATGTAGAAGGTGATCAGAATCGAAGATGAAAGACGATGTGTGTCACACTGTATGAGTTTTTCACATTCTTTAACTCCACCTGCCAATGCCACTTTAATTCTGTTCACTGTGGTAGAATGTTTACGATCACGTATGAGCTGATCCAGACGAATGGCTGAAGTAATAAACTGGTTCAAATTATCATCTCTACAAGTCAGTTCAGCAAGTATGTCCAAGTTAAGTCCTTGGCAGAACATAACTAGTAAAGCTGGTTCATTCCAGCCACTTTCAGCTGCCAGAGTGTGTAATTCTAGCGAATAATCAGAAACAAAATGATTACCTTATTGAGGCAGAATCTGACCTTTCCTTCATGAGGGTGATTAAAAAAACAGACAAAAACCCTTTAAAAATAGTTTGTAGGTTAAAGTCTGAGCCAGAGAACGGTTACCCATTCTAATGCTCTGTCGTACAAATGTAAGATTACAAAAAATATTTGCCTTATCAGAGCTAGGAGGAGAACTGATAGCAACACTGTAACAAAAATCCTAGGCCTGCTAAGATCCACGGCGCTGCCTCAGCCTGCTGGCCGAAAGCGATGCGCGAGAAGGCCAAGAAAGTCCAGCAGCGCGTCTACTTCCTACAGAGACTGAAGAACGTTCATCTCCCCCCTCCCATCCTCACCATGTTCTACAGGGGGACTGTGGAGAGCATCCTGAGCAGCTGCATCATCGCCTGGTTTGGGAATTGCACCGCCTCCAACCGCAAGACCCTACAGCGCATAGTGAGGACAGCTGAGAAGATCATCAGGGTCTCTCTCCCCTCCATCATGGACATCTACACCACACGCTGCATCCGCAAAGCCACCAGCATCGTGGACGACCCCATCCATCCCTAACAAGGACTTTTTTCACTGCTGCCGTCTCTCAGAAGGTAACGGAGCATCCGTGCCATCACTGCCAGACTCTGCTACAGCTTTGTCCCTCAAGCAATCAGGTTTCTAAACTCACAAGGACCGAACTAAATCCCCCCCACTCATACACACCTCTTTTGATGGTCTACTTGCACCATCTATCTGGAACATTGCTGCCAATACTGTGTTACACTGTCTACTACCTCAGTAACTGTTTTACTACCTCAGTAATTGTAATTGTTTTACTCCTCCAGTAACTGCTGTGTATATGTATGTTATCTGACGTAACTTACAGATCACATCATGTTAAATATGTCTGCACCTTATTCCACTACCTCATGTCCAGAAATCTGTGCTGTGTTGGTGCTGCACTGTCCGGTCTGTTTACTGTGTCTAATGTCTGTTTAATTTATTGTATTTATTGTATTGTTTTCTAGCTTAATTTTTGTTTGCACACTGTCCGCACGTTCGCACTTTGTACTGTTGTTCTTTTTGTTCCATGTTGCACCGTGTTGTTCCTGGAGGAACGTAATTTCGCTCCACTGTGTACTTGTACATGGATGGAATAACAATAAAAGCCTCTTGACTTGACTTGACTTGACATACCAAGGGCCTGCAGCTGAGCAGTTAACTCTTTCACATTAGCAACCACATGAACTAGTTGTGATTGCTGTTCTGCTTGCTGTTGTGTAAGAGTCTCCAGAGATTGAGTAATGCTGGCTAATACCTGTTGGTGTTGTCAAAGCTAATGGCCCTGATTGTCAATAACCTTTTGAAAATGGTCTGTCGTCTGCATTGTAGGTGAGGTGTTCTGTTATGTAACCAAACCAGTCAGACGCTCATGGTAAAAAACAATGTATGAGGCCTTATTGTGAGGGGCTTTGTCGGAAAACAGGCTGTGGTCACATCCAGAGAGATCAAAAAAAGGACAGACATAACAAAACCAGGCAACCAGATCCAAAGGGCAGAGACAAAAAGACAAAGTCAAAAAATCCAAGTCAGGTTAACACTTTCGCAGGTCCTTCCTTCCTGCTGCGGTTAGACTGTACAACCAGCACTGCTCCCGGTAGAACCTCCTCCACCCCCAATTAGACCACTGTTAGCCCTCACACACCTATAGAACATAAACTGTGAATTTATCACCCTTTTCTGTGGGCAATATAATCAACACTCCACATGCAATATTTTTAAGATATTTTTTGCATTGCTCTCCATTTGCTGTTGTAGCACTGTGAATTTGCCGTGTAGTGGGACTAATAAAGTAATAATAAATAAGCCAAAACTAATAATACTGTAATTAACTTATCTTTCAGGATTCTACTGATCCACATGTTCCACAAGGTTTTCTGGTACGCAGTGGTGCATCGGTATGTACACACACACACACATACACACACACACCCCACACATATATATATAAATTAGATGTATATAATTTTCTAAATCCTTTGTTGTCTGTAATGTTGGTCTTTGATCTGCAGTGTCAGTAAAGCTGTTAGTGTTTGTGTAAATGATGTTTAACCTGTTTAACTCGTTACAGATCAAAGTGTTGGTTTAGTCTTGAACTGATGATCATCTTTAAACTGATTCTACTTTAAGGGTTCTGCTGATCAGCCTGATCCACAGGGTTCTCAGGGCCGCAGAAGAGAACCGGTATGGACACACACACACACACACATACACACACACACCAGACAGACTCAAACACACACACACACACACACACACACACACACACACACACTCGTTCTTGTATGTAATTTTCTAAATCCTTTGTTGTCTGTAATGTTGGTCTTTGATCTGCAGTGTCAGTAAAGCTGTTTCTGTGTTTGTGTAAATGATGTTTAACCTGTTTAACTGGTTACAGATCAAAGTGTTGGTTTAGTCTTGAACTGATGATCATCTTTAAATTTTTTACTTTCAGGGTTTTAGTTATCTGACTGATCAACGGAGTACTGAGGACCGCCGGGGAGCTTCAGTATGTACACACACACACACACACACACACACACACACACACACTCAATGCAAATATTACAGAACTGTAAAACTGTACATGGAGTAGAGAAAATATTTTTAAAATCTTAGCAATACTGAGATGATAGAAAGAAAAACCTCTTATACCTGAATTCATTAACAAACTGTTCTACAATTAAACTGATTAGCCACATATTTGCGATATAAAAGCGTGTGACTTATAAGCTGAATTCAAGAATTATAGGCCTACTTGTTGATCCAAATCATATGTTTAAAGACTATTTGTGCTGTTTTATTGATCCTTGCAGAATTCCATATGACCGTGCTTTGTAGAAGTTCAAGTTCAATTCAGTCTGGATAAAGTAGATGTTATACAATCAGGTTCATAAATATTTGAACAGTGACATTTTTGGTAATTTTACTTCTGTACACCACCACAGTGGATTTGAATTGAAGCAGTTAAGATTGGACTGAAGTGCAGACTTTTGGCTTTAATTCAAGGGGTTAAACAAAAATATTGCAACATTCCAATGGCCGTTAGGAATTACAGCATTTTTTACATAGTGTCTCCATTTTCACAGGTTTAAAATTAATTGGACAAACTAACGATTATAAATACAAGGATTACTTTTAATACTTGCAGATCCTTTTTGTTCAATGACTGCCTGAATCTGGGACCCATGAACATCACTAAATGCTGAATTTGAGTTGAGCCGAGTTTCCTTTTGTCCATGGTCTCCAAACCACCTTCCTCCATGTATGTGTGGTCTCTGGTGCACATGTACAAATGAAAAAACACCAAGTAACATTCTCAACACAACAAACAGTTGATATTTACTGTGTAGACAAGCTCTAAATATGAGCAGCACAGTGGAGCATTGTTAGCTATCAACATTCCAACATTATCAACTGATCTCCAAGGGAATTCTGGGAGTTGGAATTCTCTGGAAGGACAGATTCAGAGGAATGTGTGACACAAATAACAGGTTGAAAACTCAGGTAAAAGTGCAGTTCACCTTTTTAGTGAATATACATGATTTGTTCATCTTAATACCAATTTTTGGCACCTGTTCCTCCTCAACTTTAAAGGAGGCTCACTCTAACCTCCACACTCAGTCTTGGATTCTTTTTTCAGTTTCGCTGTTCAAGGCTAAGCTGGTGATTTGGTAAAGCCCCTCAACTTCACTCCTGGGCCTCTCTTACCTGTCTTGTCTGTGCCAGACTCAACTCCTTGAGTGTTTCCCTCAGGGTTTCTCTGGCACTTCGAGTACCTTCCTCACAAAAAAATCTTGGTGTTTATTGTTCTTTGTGTCCTTTTCTGATCTGATTTTGATTTCAGTTCTCTGTAACTCTTGATCTCCAGCCTGTGATGAGTTTATGCTGAACCTCCAGTTGGTGGTCCCCCAGTTAATGGTTCTAATGGTCTTTTCAGCAGGACAGTCAGAGCTGTGATGCATATTTTTTTTATTAGAACATTTTGAAAAAAAATCTCTTGACGAATTAATTAATTAAGCTTGTTGGCTTCCATGTCATGACTAGTTTGTCTTGATTATTTCTGTTTTCTTAGTCTCTGTTTATCAGATTTTGTCCCAGATGTTGGCAGTTATTATATTCTCTGTCAGTTCTCTGCAGTTTTTATGCTAATTTAACAGGGTGTGAGGGAGAGTGCCCCCTCTCTCCCCAGGTCACATTAGCCCACCAACAGGCCTCACTTCTGCAGTTGTAGTTGTTTCAGGTGTTGTCACATTAGGCAGTCAGAACGGGTTAACCAAAGGGGCGGTCAATAAGCCAAGCCAGGTCAGAACCGTGAGGGCAGTAAACAGGTACACAGGGAACCTGAGATCAAAGTACATAGACAAGTGAGGGTCAAAGGCCAGAGAGACAAACAACACAAAACCAAAGTTCAAAGCAGAATCCAGAAGAGAAAATAAGGGGCAAAATGGGTCAAATAACGCAGGAAGCACAGACAGGAAAAAACGCTTGGTATGAAAAAGACAAGTGTAACGGCAGAACTTCACAGAGCATCTGATATGAACAGGTGTATAAACACAAACAGGGATAATGAGCACAGGTGTAAGCAGTTAGAACTCAGGGGAGGAGGATCTGTGTAACTGATTGTGATTGGCTGGTGTTGGCCTTTTGACTGTGATGTCAGAACCAGATGAATCATGGGAGTTGGAGTTTACCAGTGGGTCAGAAACTTCAGAGGAAGTGGGTACTGTGTTTTTGACTAGTGTCCTCACCTGTTGTCTACGTTGGGCAGATGCTCTTATTCAGGGTGATTTATAGTTTAATCATGTCACACAGGGAGGACAGTGGATTTTTTTAAGAGTCTTGCAGAAGGACTTTTATTGGTAGAGCATGATGCACTTGCCCAGGCACAGACTCAAACCCCAGTTTGGGCAGCACAGTGACCCACTATGCTGCACCTCCTGCTCTGCTTGCCGTTGTTGCTGTCCATGGGCTCCTCCTAAACCATAGCACTCTTAGCAGAGAAATATCAGTGTCTATTTAAAACACTGAAAGAACTCTTTTTTCCTTTTCCTCTTTAAGATGCCATGTTTTACGCAGGATTCCTGCAGAGCAGAAAAGGATTTTATTGTTGCACCCAAGTCTAGAGGTAAGTTCTTACTTTCAAAGCGCTCCTCAACCAACTTTTCTTCACTGAGGCTGGAGTCTTTCATTATTGGAGATTCAGTTCATCTAGAGTACTGAGTCTCTCAACTTAAGCTTAAACCTACATGGACTTTGTGCATGTACAGTGTACAGTGCAAGAAACTTGCCTAGCAAGTTTACACCTGCCTGGGCAGCAGTGTGGCTAAATGTGCTGTGTTTAGGGTGGAAAGGAAGATGACCACTTGATTAATGTTTCTAGGTGTTTATATTCTGAATGGCAACCATCCAAAAAATCCAACTATAGCCCTAAAGAAGCAGCCAGAAGAGTACATGTATAAACATGATTGTCTTTTGTTATGCAAACTGCCCTGGTCACTCAAAAGTGAAGGGAAATCTGTTAGCCACTGCATGTTAAATCAGTAGATGAGGTAATGCTAGAGTGTAACATTAGATGAGTGACAGTCATCTACATGAGGTGAATTATCTCTTGCTCAGTGGATGATGTGGAGACCTGTTAGAGGAAACATTGAGCACAGAGAAATACCAGTTCCCATTTTATATGAAGCATCTCAAATACTGTGTACATAAACAATATGCAGACACATCTCTGGTGGACAAGCTGAACATTTTTTATGCTCACTTCGAAGCTGTAGCCAGCAGTGCTAACGCCATCAATGGCGCAGTATTCATCAGAGTTCATCAGAATAGGGCACGCCTTCACTATCACAGAGCACGATGTGAGGAAAGCTTTCAGGAGAGTGAACACCAGGAAGACAGCAGGACCAGACCACATCTCTGGTAAGGTTCTCAAAGCCTGTGCTGACCAGCTAGCACCAGTGCTCGTCATTTTTAACCAATCCCTGGCACAGTCTATAATTCCCATGTGCTTCAAAGAGTACGTTATGATTCCTGTCTTAAAAAAACCTCAGCCCTCCTCCTCCATCTGTGACTGTCACCCAATAACCCTGACCTCAGTTGTGATGAAGTGCTGTGAGAAGGTATTCGGAGACCTCTTCACTACCTGACACTCTGGATCCATTACAGTTTGCATGCTGCCCCAACTGCTCAACAAGTGATGACATCACACACCTACTGCACACAGCCCTGACCCATCTGGACACTAGGAGGGGAAATTATGTTAAAATGCTGTTTGGACCTCCTGACATGCAGATCACAGTTTGTATGGGTGGGTAGACATGTCTCATCCTCCCTCACCCTCAGCCCTGGAGTGTCCTGAGCCACCTGCTGTACTCATTGTACACTTATGACTACGTGGCCACTTCCAACTCTACTACCATTGTCAAGTTTGCTGAGGACACTGTTGTGGTGGGCTTGATCTCTAAGACAGATAAGAAGACCTATCCGGAGGAGATTAAGCACCTGGAGAACTGGTGCGAGAAGAACCACCTCCTCCTGATCAGCAAGACAAAGTGGATAGAAGACTTCAGCAAGAAACAGCAGAGGACCTACCACCACCTCAGCATCAGTGGTGCCCCAGTAGAGCATGTGGACATCTTCCAGTAGCTTCGTGTCCACATCACACAGGACCTGTCTGGTCCTGCCACATCAAGGCCCGTCAGTGTCTTTACCACCTTTGATGCTTGCAAGACTTCAAACTGTACTCCATGGGCACTTTTACACCGGCACCGGAGAACTTTTACACTTGCACCATAAAGAGTATCCATTCCCTAGGGCCCAAAAGAGAGAGAGAGTGAGGCCATTTGGACACTCAGTAAGGACAACAAATAGGACTATTTATAAATGCAGACACAAACACGTAACTGGTCCACTGCACAACACGCGTACACCCATACAGTGCGTGAAATGCTAATAAAAAACAGAAAGTAGTGATTAGTAATTTCTGTTTGAGCTGTATTAAACAGTACTAAACCGAATATTTGTTGATTTACCTTATAAATGTTATTATTTTTGCAAATATACACTCATTACAAATATGATGCCTACAACATGTTCCAAAAAAATTGGGATAGGAGCATATTTACCACTGTATTATGTCACCTTTCCTTTTAATACAACTTAATAATCATTTGGAGACTAAAGACACAAATTCATCCAGTTTTGAACATGAAATTGTCTTGCAGTTTTTCTGTTCTACAAGTTTTCATCTGTGCGACCGTACAGGGACGGTTTATTGGAAATGTTTTTTCAAAGTATTCCCTAGCCCATGTGCTGTAATCCAGAAACCAAATCTGTTTTAATGCAGTCCCATCTGAGGGGTCAAAGGACATTTTATGTGGACATATGTGGATACAGATAACTCAATATGTGTATGTCCATGCCATAACGTCTGAACAGGGACATAACTACAGAGTTCCTATGGAACCTCAAGAAAGCTCACCTTTGTCCCAGGATACTGGTGGACTTTTACCGGTGTACCATTGAGAGCAAACTCACAAACTGCATCTCAGTGTGCTTCGGCAACCTCTCCGTATCTGACCATCTGACTTTCTACAGATGCATCTGTTGAAAATTTTAATTTAACCCTTGTATGATGTTAATGTGTTTTTTACTCAGTGGGCTGCTGGACCCATCACATTATTGTTTTTAATCAATATGTAACATAACAATTTATGTAAAAATGTCAGATGTTTAAAATATCACAAGTGTCCAGCGTAGGGTTCTCCTTTAGCAGCTGTAGCCAGTCAGCAGCCTTGTCCACACACACACACACATATATACAAACACACACACACACACACACACACACACAGACTAACAGCAGGCCATGTAGGAGCAGAACAGAGTGAAGGACACAGCACCTCCACACCTTTACTCCCCACAGGTTCAGCCCAACACCACGTGTAATATAAATGTGTGGGGGGTGAACAGAGTGAAGACACTGAAAATGGGTTATTTTATATGCTCTTCACCGAAATGTGAAATAATAATAAATCACATCATTTTCTCTTTTGGTAAACACTGAAAATGGGTCCCACAGACCCCAACACCACAGAAGGGTTGAACATATTTTGTTCTGCATACACAAACAGTGTTGACAATGATTCATTGAACTGCCATTGTACTGAGTGATGCCAAAAGACAGGATATTCCTCTGGAAGGACTGAAAACAACATTGTTAATTTGATGACTCACAATTCTATTGTTTTCATTATTTAACACATCTAATTCTACACATGACAGAATTAGCTCTTGAGTAAAATCATGTGTGAGCTTAGCACTGAATCAGTTACAAAATGAAATGTAAGGGAATTCCATTTTTTTGCCCAGTTCATTCATTGAGATATAAACATAGTGGCTCAGAGTGGTTTGGTGTGAAACACTCCTTTCTAGAGAAACTTACCGAGTCAGAATTGTTCAAAAGCTCCCTCACAGGAAGTTATTACACGAAATGGTTATGAGTAAGAGCTAAACACTAACTATAATAGCAGATATAAAGGCGCTGTCACACATTACAGTGCTGGGCTGGAAGGAGGTCAATTTATAGATATTAATACAGGGATGACAGTATTGCCGTATCAATATTTCAAAGTTTTAAAAATAATAGCTCATGGGCTCCCGAGTGGCGCACTCATCTAAGCGTTATCCGTGTCATCAGGAGATCGCAGGTCCGATCCTTGGTGATGCTACAGTCATCCGTGTCTAAGAGTCTAAGAGAGCACATTTGGCCTTGCACTCTCTGGGTGGGTAGGATGGCCCCCCCTCTCCCCCATCACTCAGCACGATGCTAGTCAGCGCAAGCATCTGTTAGGCACCATCACCTAACTCAAAACAAAATTACAATAATAAAACTACCTCCCTGTCCCAAAACAGGAGACAATATACAAAAACACACAGGACACTCACCCCCTTACTTAGAAAAAGAGAGCTTTACATGTATTTAGGCAAACTCATACAACAATAACACAAGTTCACAAAAAGGTTCAGGTGCTTGGTCTGGTCAGGTGGAGGCTGATGGCACAGGCGCGACCACTGGAACAGCCCTCTCCTCTCCTGCAGTGCCGCAACGGCCCTTAAGTAACTGGAGCGCCCCCTGCTGTATCCAATCAAACCCTCCATACACCAATCCTAGGGGAAAAGTAATTACAAACAAAAACAAAAGCAAAAAAACAAAACACCATACACCCCCAGGATCGTAACACCCTGCACATCAGCTGCATGGGGTATATGGTTTTATATGCTTATATGCTTTTGACAGACCCCCATGTTATTGAGCAGCCCTATTTAGGGACACTGCACTGCTCACCCTAACAGGAGACAGGCCTATAAAAGGTGGCCTAAAAATTGCCCACTACCATCTCCTGGGTAGGTATCTTGGTGAATTTCCCTATTGTGGGCCTAATAAAAGATAACTTAACTTGCAGCATCCTATAAAAGGACTGCAATATAGACCACACAATCCACTTCCAGATCAAAATATGCACCTCCACTTGCACCCCTACGTTGTAACTATAAAGCTGCCTGTATCACCTCTTTCCTATCCTGAAGTCTGGGTCACATACAGGTCTAAGGTCACTGCAGCCTGCAGCAAATCCTGGGGACCATGTGGTGGGACCATGTACCCCATTTTGAAGTGCTTGTAAGAGAATAAAGAGCACTTCCCATGGTGGAATCTTGGCCTCACTTGTGTCGTACTCTACTCCAGTGCCACAATATAATCAACAACAGGAGATACAGAGTCTAAAAATAGTGAGAAATCATAGCTTGTAACTAAATAGACAAGCCAAAGAAACAACACATTCCAAAAAAGTTGGGACGGAGGCAACAAAAGGCTGGTAAAGTCATGAATTATGCATTAAAAACAGACATGATTCTATAGTGGAAAACACTCATAGGCTCAGAAACACTTTTTGGAAATCGTGGACACTGTGTCCGCTGGGCTAATAACCACTCAGCTTGTTATCAGTGCACAGTTCAAAAGTCAGTATTTATGATGGTATAGGGGGGCATTAGTGCAGATGGCATGGGTGACGTGCTCATCTGTGAAGGCACCATTAATGCTGAACGATATATAAATGTTTTGGC